TTAAGATCATCCCTAAGTCTCTCCAATATAAAACATTTGGTCATTTTGTGATATAAATTTAGTATAAAGGTTCTTGGATGTTATTTTTCCTTTTTTATATTTATTTATTTTCTCAAATATTATCTAAAATACATCTAAACCAGACAACCGATTTAAAGCTAAACCAGTTATACACATAACCAGTCTAGAAAATCAGCTCTCTCACTATTTATTTGCAAAAATATCACTGTTTAAATTCATTATTTTATGCTAGTGCCACCTCCATGAAGTTGGCTGTAAGTTTTTTTTCTTTTCCGTAACACATGCCTTGAGATTTTTTTTTTTTGGTAACTTAAATCATTTTTATATCAATCATGAGTATTTTAGTCCAAAAAATATTATATATCGGTCGGCAAAAAGTCTTGCATAGATTAGAAGTATCACCTCATCAATGCTGTATGCAAGAAAATTACATCAATTTAATCAAATAAAATCTTATATATTTTTATCTTATTAATGATTTTTTGGACTATAGTGCCTCTTTGATTTAATTTTTTGTATTTCCTCTCTTTAACATCTAAATAAATGATGGGAGAAAGAAAAGTCAATAAATTAAAATACTTTAAAAGAACATAAAGGAGAGGGATAATACATTATACATAAACTTAAATGAATTTGACATGTGTGACATATTTTTATTGGATAATATATATAAAGACAACACTTATTACTTACTTTTATATGCTTAATATATATTTATCTAACTAAATAAAGATAAATAGATTTTATTGTGTTAATAATATTGATAACAAGAATTTGTTATTGAATAAATAATATATAAAATATTCACATATCTTAATTTAATTAAAATAAATATTTTAAATATATAAGTATATAAGTTTTCCTTACATATAAATGATGCGTTACACCGGTCCTGTGCAATAATTTTTTAACAGCCAGTTAGCACTTAGCAATTAGGTGGATGGAATTGAATGTTAATAATACAATCGAGATTTGTGCTATATATTTTCATTTGGGAAGATCTATGTACTCTCTCCGTTTCTACTTATAAAAAAAAATTATATCACACAATTTAATTTTATGTAAAAATTAAAAAATTAAATTAAAATATCCTTTATTTAATCTCACTCTTTTTTTAATTTAATAATACTATCCATTTTTTTTTTTTAAAGTCAACTAGTCCCATCCCTAAAATTTAGTGCTTAATTAAAACGGATCATCTCTCTCCATTCGGTGAAGCCACGCCATACCCCCCTATAAACATCTATCCCCGTTATGCGAAGTCATGCACATGCTATACCAGTCGGTGAAAGTAACAGTAAAACAAAAAACAAAATTTTAAGATTGGCGGCAATAATTAAGTCAGCGGTGGGTGTTTTTTATTTTGAAAACCAGCAATGTCTCTTTTTAAGTGTTTCACGTGCATATACAGTGTCCGCACGCATCTCTTCTAAACTTGGTAATGTTAGGAAATTCACCCATCATAATTTTCGTGTCTCAGGGATTTGAAGGAGATGCCAATTCACATAGATTCGAATCAACCTCCCTCTCTATTGATGGATACATCTCCAACGACCTCTGTTTTGGTGGAAGAAAACAGAGCCTCTCCGATGACCTCTGTTCTTGTGGAAGAAAACAAAGCATCTCGTCTGCATTTGAATGCTGTGAATGGAGCACCTTTGCGTATAGATTTAAACGTCCCTCAATTGTATGTAAATGACGACCCCGAATACCTTATATTTTAACAATAAGAGGATGAGGACTTTGACTTGGACACCGAGTTCTCTGTGGACAAAATGGATGCAATCACCAATGCAGGTTTCTATCTACATGGTGCCTTGTCGAGAATATATAATATTTGTTTTTTGTTATTTCTTTATTTGTCCATTTTATGCTGCAGAAGATGTTATGGTTGAATAGGAAAGAGAACCAACTACAAAATGAGCCTGATTAAGTAATAAACAATGAACAGTCATTAGTCAAGTGCTCCTGCATACAAGTATAGGAGGAAAACTTAAACCGAGGACTGCAAAATGCATGGCTTCATTATATTTCGTCTCTGTCCATGTCATATATTGCATATGGAATCGAGTGAGGGAAACAGGTGATATATGTCATAGGAGACAAGAAATTGTGGAAGGAAAAATGTCCATGTGGACATTGCAACGGTTCGTGAAGTTCCATTATTAAAGCAGCAAACTAATCAATATTTGGCACATGCTTTGAACATTAGCACAACAGCATTGGTTCCGTTTATTAAGGAAAGAGAGCTCCGGTGACATTCAAATGCACTCAAGCCGTTCTTGAAGGAGGGGAACATGATTTCTCGTCCTAGATTTTGCTTGTCCATGCTTAAAAGAAAGTAGCATAAATGATGATCCCATGTTTAAATCGATGTATGATGTTGTTCATGTATATGAAAAATGGTTTCAAGGGACTCAAGAATGCACAAACTTCTATCTGCACAGAAACGAGAACGAGCCGCACTGCACATGCAAAAACGAAAACTACGTCAAGAAGGTAATGTTTTTAGCTACAGTGGCATGTGTCTCCTTTAGTCACTAAAGTTCCAGCAAGAAGGACAAGCGTCAATAAAGTAGCAGGGATACTCGAAATGAAACCAATTACTTCTATCACTGACGAGGTTAGCCGAAGGTTCTTAATTAATGAAGTTTTACCCGCCGTCAAGGAAAAATGGCCAAGAGAAAGATGCAGGAAAAACTATTTTTAGACGGCAAGATAATGCACCATACCATGTTGATGTAGATGGTGATTAGTTTTGTAGAGCAGCTTCTGAAGGGGGTTTGACATTCATTTGTATTGTCAGCCTCCTAATTCTCTTGATTTGAACGTGATGGATCTAGCTTATTTTAGAGCCATTCAATCTCTCTAACAAAAGGATGTGACTAGATCAGTTGGTGAGTGGATTGAGGTTGTTGGAAAATCATTTGATGCTTTTCCAACGAAAAACAAAATATTTCTCACATTCTAAGCATGTATGATTGAAATCATAAAGTTGAAAGGATCAAATAACCATGACATGCATCATTTGGAGAAAGATGTATGTGATGCTTAATCATGGTAATTAAAATAGTAAAATTTTTCCTTTAATATAATTTATCTCTTGAACCATTCAACTGCTATAATTTTTCCTTCAATAACTTTTTATGTAAATTTCTTTTAGGCTTTACCTTCTAGCACCAGGCTCAGAAGAGATACAAATAATAAAGTTAGATAGGCTAGTCATGCGCAAGGGACATGAATGAACTTTTACAATCAACCTGCCATATATTTGCCATGGACATGAATGGATATGAATGACAACATTATGTGAGAGGATGATATGATGCAATAGTGTTTGTAAAGAGCTTTTTTTCACCTCACACACCATCTGGTAAAGTTAATTAATGGTTGTTTATGTCGAATTTTTTCCTATTAAATCCACACACTTGAAACAAGCATTCATCAGTTTATGCTTCATGACGGATGATTTGAAGTTTATGCTATACAATGTTATTGAAAACCCAAACGTGCCTTTCATATGGTTTTGGCAGTTTGAATAAACGATAATTATAACCAAGACCAAACATGTGAGCCAACAAAGATCAGATAGTCAGCTTTGATCAGCATTAGATTGCTGACGATGATTGAAATTTGGACTAGATCATCGACTGTGATCGGGACCAAACGGCCAACGTTGATTGGGGCTACACTGCCAACGTCAATTGGGGCCTAACTATCAGCACTAACTATGACCTGACTACCATTGCAGTCTGGAATTAGTCTATGATCACCATTATTATCTAGTGCCAAATGCTGATGTTATTAGGAAATGATCTAGTGTAGTCATCCTTGTCAAATATACAACTCTCAAACTACTGTAATCATCCTGTGCTAATTCATAAGCATTGTTTGGATTGGGCTGTCGTAGCTTATTGAGTCTAGACCACTTATGTTGTCTGGGTTTGGATAGTCGGAGTCAATTTTGATCGGGCCGCCCCCCTTATTTGGATCGAATCTCTAATGTCATTCGAGTTTTCTTTAAATTTAAATATATAATTAAAAATTTGAAATTTTATTTAAGATCCAAAAAAAGAATTTTAATATTATGATTTAAAATTTTTTATATCATCTAAACAAAAAATTTAGAATATATAAATTTTAAATGTGAGATTTCAACTATAAAATTTTAAATCCATCCATCCAAACATAATAATATAGGCTACTGGTATTACTAATTTTGATGTTGATGTTGATGTTGTTTTATTTCAACTATTCCCTCCGTTTAAAAATATAAGATATTTTTAATTGAATCTCACTCCAATAAAGTAGTTACCTCCTTTTCAACTAATCTTATCTTTTTTTATTTATTTCTATTAAATGTCTTACAATAAATATAAAGTCATTATCAATAGGGACATTTTTAAAAAAAGGCAATAATTACATATGAAAAAACTAAAAATGTCTTATATTTTTTAACATTAAACTCTTAAAAAAATACCTTATATTTTAAACAAAAGGAGTATATTTTTTTGGATCCATATGACGAACCAGCACACTGATTTGATAAACACAATGATAGAAAGAAGATAGCACCAAAAAGAAAAATAAAACTATAAATAGGATATTAGTCTTGTTTTTATAATTATTATTCCCTCCATTAGAAAATATAAAATACTTTTAATTAAATTTCACCCTCAATAAAATTGTTACTTACTTTTCAAAGAACTCTATCTTTTCATATTTATCCTTATTAAACACCTTATAATAAATATAAAATTATTATTAATAGGAACACTTTTAAAAAAAACAATAATTATACTTTAAAAAATTAAAAATATTTTTTAAAAAATTATATGTTTAAAAATATTTTATATTTTTAAATGAAGATCGTATATTTTTTTTAACTCTTATTTTTCTTCAATAACAATGAAGCATGGTGAACAGGTATAGTTGGGCTAGAGCGCCTAAAGAAATTCAGCCCAATGTTAACTAGCCTCATGGCATTTGGTAGCTCAACTTTGACCAGGTACTGGAGGTTGCTGTTCGTTTAGTGTTGTGATTTCAGTCTCGTAGCTAGCGTCGACGAATAGGGGTCGGTGGTCGGAGATAGACTTACTTTTGTCAACGGTGAGCATCTAGTGCGCCTCCTCACTCCAGCAACTCATTCTTCATTTCTCTCTTCCAAAAAGAAAAATCTCTGAATCCTCAATCTGGCGAACCGCTTTCGCTCGAGGGAAAACGAGAGAAAGTTATGTTTTTTTTTTTTTTTATGAGAAATATTCACCTTTTATCATGAAGCTTTTTTAAGTATCTTGTCGGCTGTTTGAAGGGTGGACTGGGAAAAATAGTTTCAGTTTTTAATACACCTGGATTAGGAATTTTAGATCAATGAATTTGGTTGAGTGGACTGTGTGCACCCGGAAAATGTTGATGATTGTCAGATTGAGCTCCACTATTGAGAACTAAATTCAAGGGAAGAAAGTATGCTTGTGTTGGTGACCCTATGCATATTTAAACCTTTTATGGCTACTTGACATAGATGTTTTCTCGGTCTTTCTCATTTTAGCCTGTGATATACTCGTTCGGTGCTCCTCAGCATCTCATTGCACCTGATAAGTATAAAAGGCTTCTTAATTACAAATCAAAGGCATCTTCATTTCTCATATGTGAATGTGACAGTCGTGCTTGTGATGTCCGTAAATTATAATGCACCTACCATGGAAACATTCGTAATGCTAATTTATTAGACCCACATGCCTTATTTTTGTACGTTTATTTTGATTTACAGATGCCAAGAATGGAGGACATTCTAAACCTTCCAGTGCAAGATCCTCCTTGTCCTGAATTTTCTGCTGCTCATATAAAGTGGGTAAAAGTAGAAGGTGGTCGCCAAGGTGGTGATGATATTGCTTTGATTCCTTTTGCCAGAGTGGATGATTTTGTTAAAGGAGAGTCTTCCAATGCAGAATGCCCTGCTAACTTCCGCATAGAATCAAGAAGAAAAAGATCTGAAGGGAGCATCAGTAAACCGAGGGTTGATGGATATCTCGAATACACACTGTAAGATGTCGTTTACCTAAAATCACTGGGTGGCGACTCTCTCTCTTGATTTAACATATGCTTGATGATAGTTTTGGTCTCTCCTGGATTTTAGCCATTTATTGGACGGATGGCTATATCTCATATCAATATATATATATATATATATATATATATTATGTATATATATTATGTATATATATTTATTATATTTTCAAAGCTTAGTTGTCTAACTTTTTTATAAGAGTTCATTCTGGGGAGAAAAGTTCATTGTTGAAGTTATCCAAAATGCTATTTTCTTCCGAGCCTTTTTAGAATATTCAAAGCTTTATGTAATCAGCTAGATAATTATACCTGTTGATTTTTAGATATTGGTGTTCTTATGGTCCTGAAGACTACCGAGAGAGTCAATCAGCTTTTAGGGATGGCACAAGTACCAAACCTGCTTCAGGAAAGGGGAGCAGGCCAGGAAGGCGTCACATGATGAGGGGCTGCCTATGCCACTTTACTGTTAAGAGGTTATACATGCGACCCCTGCTTGCCCTCATCATATATAACCAAAGAAGACACGTGGATAAAACAGGGTCACCTTGTCATGGGATGCTTGACAGAAATGCTGTAGGAACAAGAGCTATGTATGCCCCACGAATTTCAGATGAGTTACGTCAAAAAGTGATGTCTATGCTTTATGTTGGAATATCATTGGATGACATAATACAGCACCACACAGAGGTGATGCAGAAGCAAGGTGGACCACATAACCGTGATGATTTTCTCACTCGAAACGATGTGCGCAACATGGAAAGGATTATTCGTAATTCTACTCATGAACTGCAGGAAAATGATGAATACAGTGTAAGGATATGGGTTCAACGCCATCAGAAGCACGTTTTCTACTTCCAAGACAACTCTGTTTCAGAATCCTTTGTCTTGGGAATACAGACTGATTGGCAGTTGCAGCAAATGCTTCGTTATGGACATAATAGTTTCATCTCTTTTCATTCAGCATTTGGCTCAAAGAAACTTAAGGTACTGCATCTTGTCTTTTAATGCTCTTTTTTTCCCGTAAATTTAACAATGCGTTTTTAATATTTGTGATGGCACTAAAGGGAGATGCATTTTTAAGGGATACATATTTTATTAACATTCTAGATCATTGGCAACAAACTGGTTTATGGTGTGATAAAATTAATCATCGGCATAATGATATATAAATTTTAAGGGCTTATAGTATAGTGATACCAAAATGCCTTATGCTTTTTCTCTCTGCCCTTGACAGTTTCCCCTTTGTTCTTTACTTGTTTTCAATACATCCCAAAATGCAATTCCAGTTGCTTGGATTATCACATCATCCTCAGTTAATAAAGGCATACATAAGTGGATTGGGTTGCTATGTGAAAGAATAAGAACCAGGGATGCCAGATGGAAGCCTAGTGCCGTGTTGTTGGATAATCCATCCTTTGACTTTTCTATCATAAGGTAAAGATATCACTGCAGTTCTTCTCAGTTCCATTCAACTTCTTCTTCTCTTTTGAAGGAGGGTCTAAAAAGCAATTGGAGTTGGGTTATGCTTATTGCAGAGAGGCTTTTCAATGTCGCATCCTATTATGCACCTGGCATGTTCGCCGTGCTTGGATTAAAAAGCTTCAAAAGAAATGCAGCAACATTGAGGTGCAACGTGAGATGTTCAGGCATATGGGTGGGATTTTGTACAGTGCAAGATGTGGGCCTAGTGTTGTAGAAGCCATTGAAGAGTTCATGCAAATATTTGTTGATCAGTGTGGCTTCATAGACTATTTCAAGAGCCATTGGCTATCAAATATAGGTATTTTCAAGTGTTGGTTAATTTTGTATATATTGAAGATACATATGCTCTTGCCCTTAAAGATTAGAAGAGGCCTTCGGTTAGCTTTTTCATCACAAACTTTCTTTATCTGACCAATGTGTGATTTTCAACATATAGGAGCCGCCAATGGAAACTGAAAACTTACCAACTTTAGTATTAATCAATTCCAATAGCAAACCTGACCCTGAGATAGATAGTGAACTATTACATAGGTGACTCAAAAGAGCCAAATCTAGTGGGACAAATAATCCAAAATTAAAACTTCGCAGTCCAAACAAAAGATATGTCTATTCATGTCCGCCAGGTAACAGTTACGTGAGCAATTATTACATTTGACCATGCTCCTGAAACATTAATATCGAATACTGTACAAATACACAATCCTCAAGACTGTCTGAATCAATTATGTTTCTGTGTTCTGTCCTGCAGATATGTGGGTTAATGGCATAAAGTCACTCCCTGTAACAACTCCAGACTTGCATGCTGCAATAGAATCCTATCACCTAATACTAAAGTCCAGGCTTCTGAAGGAGAATTATGCTAATTTCTGGCCAAGAATCGATTGGCTAATCCACACTTTAACTACTGAATTTCACTCGTTATACTGGCTAGACCAGTACAATGTAGAAACAGGGTATTTTGAGAATCTATGGGAAAATTATTTCTCCTCCAATGCTTGGTATCTTGCTCTCCACATTCCAGATGTTGATGTACTACTGGATGATCAAAATCTCCATTTTGCAAAGATCATATCACAGACAGACAGAAGCTTGGTGTATACAGTTTGGAATCCTGGTTCAGAATTTTCACTTTGTGATTGTTCCTGGTCTAAGCTGGGAAATCTCTGTAAACATGTCATTAAGGTGGCAACTTTCTGTAGAACTCGGCAGGTTGCAAGGCCATTATTGTCTGCTCAAGTTTATAAACAGGCTTTGCTTAATCTTCTTCATAACCCCCCAGATGATCCTTTAGTTCTTGATCATGCCATTCTACATGTGGCTCGATTGCAGCAAGACATTAAATCCTTGGAAGACTTGTCGAACAATGGATTGCTGCAGCCTTTACCATCTGATTTGAGTTCTCAAATGGCAGAAAATTCTCTGCTTTTTCAGCATCTCCACTGACTAGTCCATCAGAAACAGGGAAACAAGAAACTTTGTTTGGAGTAAAATTGATCTTCTTGTGCGTGCAGTAATCCAGCAAGGGTTAGAATTTGTTCCTAGAGCAATTAACGTTGCATGAGTTCAAAAGGATATACTTCTGCTTTTGAAAGTGGTGACTATATCATTCATTTCATGAAATCACACCATTCTGCCTGCATAAGTTAATGCTGCACAGTACTGCCTACACTCTCGAATATTCCACCTAATTATTTTTTCGGTGGGGTGGGTTTTATGCTGTTCCTGGACTTCATTTCAGCATCTTTTTTTCTGCTCTTTTCCTCCTGCATTGATGTTCCTTTTCAAGTAAGCTAAATGTTCTTGACCTTTCTGTTGCAGTGAATGTGTACTTTGCTCCACGGTCATTATGATAGCATGTCCAAGCTACTGTCTCACAAACTTTATGGTAAGTGCATCGCCTTTTTAGCCTTCTAGGGATGTGGAGGATCTCCAGGATGTCAAAAGAAATGGAAAGGGCAGGAATAGAAGGATCCTAGTAAATAAAGTCCCCTCGAATTTATTCTTTTCTGGTCCCAAGACATCCTTAAAATTCAAGCGAAGCTGCGTTTGGTGTGCCATGGACACTTCAAGGGATCATTCACAAATCTGATCACTGCACAGAAAGTGCAAGCTCTTAATTTTCAGATTATTGTGATTTATCTCACAAATTCATGTTCGGCGTTTTGCTGCTTACCATCCCTGGTAAATCTTTCCTTTTTCATTGTTCCTATCAAATATGCTGAAAACTCTGGATCTTCGACAGCAACTGGGACTGGGAGTTCCATCGATTGGTCATTTGGTTCGAGAAAGTGATTTTAAGTTCATGACATCGTTTGGTAATGTACATTGGAGGACCCGACCTAATAGATATTTTTGAGTTTTGCCCTCTGAATTTTTGCAACTTCATTGGCGTTGTTTGAATTTGTATATAGTGTAAAAAGTAAATATGTATTTGGCTTTGGAGCTGAATGTGTTACATTCATGCTGGCTCCCTGGCTCCCTGGCTGTAGTTTCTTTCGTGGCTCTGGCTGAGTAGCATTTACGTACGATTCCAATTACTTCAAATACTCTATCATTTGTTGGGGACCCTTTTTTTTTTAAAAAAAAAATCTTTGATCATTACCCACTTTTCGTTAGGATAGGAGCTTAATGATGATTGATTGTGAGGATTCAAATGAAGAGCTAATCTCAGGTTTTGTTTTTGGGCCATACAGATAGTCGACTCAAGTTATCACAAATGGAGGTTCTTGTGTTATTGGCGGCATTAGCATTCTATGAATGTTGGCAAACACAATCTGTATTTTATTTTGTTGTGTTTTATCCGGGTAAGATAAAAACAAGATGAACATTTCAACTTCGATTGATTTTCTTGACACGTATTCCTATTATACGTCCGTTCATGTCTTTTCACTGGGTTGGTTGATATTTAATACTCCTTCCGTAGTCTTTTAAAACTTTTTCTTTCCTTCTAAATATAAGAGATTATTAATGTATTTTTTAATAGATAAATTATTATACTCTTATTAAATTAAGAAGAGAAAAATTTAAGTATTTTTATTATTTTATTTTAAAAAAGAGATTCATTTTTATTTAAAATAATAAAGGGTAAAATTAAAATATTATTATATTTTTAATTAGATAATTAATTTTTATTTATTTGTATAATTTAATTAAAAAATTTTATATATAAAAGAGGGGGAATAGCTTGTTAAGAGATAAACTCTCAGTCACTAAGGGAACCAATTATTGAACAAATATATATTTATATATAAGATATTAATTATAAAATAAATAAAAGATGCACATCCATATCTGATGAAGACGACCATTAACTTCACAGATATTTGTAACATCAAATGAAATCAATCCTTCCACGTCAGATTTCCCAATTTTCTAAAATATCATCATCGTCTGTCTCCCCCTTCTTTCTACGTGTCAACACATGGACCACAGAGACGGCTGATGACATTCAAGAATCAAGACTACAGTGTGTGATCATTTCGGTACCCCATTTGCATGGTTTTTTAGTCCAAATTCATTATTTTTTTTTTGGCCAAGCCCAATTTTATTAATACTAGGCGGACACTAGACGCGACTTTGTCCCGCCTCCCCCCCTTCCTTGCCGGCGGACACAACAGTGCTTTAGGCCAGGACGGACACGGAAATTTTGAATTTCGTAACATTTATATACGAATTTTACTAAAAAAATATATTCATTTCCATCTTCATTATAAAACACTTTTAATTTTTTTACATATGATAAAAATAATTAATTTTTTCTTGATATCATTAAAAAGTAAGATATATTTTTATTTTTATTTTTAATTTTAAATAATAATATTACTACATTAAATACTTTCACACTAATTAAAAATAAATAAAATTAAAAAATAGTTTAATTATTACAAGGTATTCTATATTTTAAATAAAAAATTACATCTAAAGGTATTTTATAAATCGGAGTAGAGGGAGTACCATTTATGAATTATAAACATATGACATATCTTTTACATTCTTAATTAATCAACATGATTGATGATATAAAATTTGATATGAATCCTAATATATAAAGTTAAATTTTAACTGAGTTATCATGTACTATCTTTGATTTCTACTATAGGATGCTTTTTAAAAGAATTTTTTTGTCCTCAATATAAGACACTTGATAAAATATTATTAATTTTTTTTATTATTGTTCCTATTTAAATTCATTAAATATAAAAAAAATGTAATATGCATTTGAAAATGTTTCATTTAAATGTAGGTAAAATAAGAAATCTATTATATTTTCAAACAAAGCTAATTAACCAAGCACCTTTAATGGTTCCCATGAGGTGGTTAAATGCCTTATTATAATAAAGACTAGAGGAAATAATATAGGAGTTGTCATTCAATTTTTCAGCCAAAACCAAGTTAACTGATTTGTTAAACTAAGAAAACTTTGAATTGGTATTTTATTTTGATTAGTTTAATGAAATATTTTGTCCATGGCCAGTCTAACCATGATTTTAACAATTAACTATCCAACCAGTATGTTAAATGATTCAATAATCAACCTAATTTTTAGCACCTTGAAATTGAGAGAATTTCTACCATTCATGTTAGGAAGAGATGTCTCAAACTACAAAGTATTTTTGGCAAAATTATACATATCAATTAAATTCATTAAATTTAATTTATAATCTTATTTTTTATAAACTTATAATAATACCCAAGTGAAATAATAAAGGATAATACTAAAATAATCATAATCAACAAAACATTATTTTTTAAAACATTTAGGACACTAAATCACGTTAAATTTAAAATCAAATATATTTATAAATTTAATATTTTTTTAAACTAAACCTCAATAATTTATTTCATCTGATTCTTATTATAGAGCATATTTTAAAATTATTTTTTAATTTTTTAATTTCAGGACAACATACTTATGGAGATATTAATAAGATTTTTTTTTAATATTATCTTATTTAAATTTAAATACACTAACTATTAAAAAAATGTATTTCCACATTGATTGACGCACCCGTCACCGGCCTTTGCAGACCGAAGTACGGTGTGTGGCAGAAGGGGCGATGAATGAATGACAATGACTTGCACGCAAATCCAAGGATTGGGCACCACGTCACCGTATCCATCCGAGACGTTCCACTTTGCTAACTCATTTGTAACCGAAAGTTTGAACCGGAACAGTTTGGAGATATTTTGAAGAATAGAGGGATAATTTTGGGAATCGTGGACCTACAACCTGTCAACAGCAGTGTTTCGTCCCCTTCACTCACAGCCTTCGCTTCCTTTCATTTTCACGTTAAATCAGGTCAATTTCGAAGGCTCCCGAATGAGATCCCCGTTTCCCACCACGGGCTATAAATTCCGCTCTGATTGGTTTCCCTCTCAGCTATGGCTTATCTCCGTTTCGTATCTGAACGTGAAAGGAGATTCTAATAGGAGCTTCGCTATAACTTCATTGGATCTTCTTGTCATTGTGTCTTGTTTGTTTGCAATTTGGATCGTCGACCAAATCGTCTCTCTCACTCCAAGTAGAAAGTTCGTTGTTCTGTGACAGTTTGCAGTATTCATTATTTGCTCTTTTGTTTCTTCGCTGTGTTTAAATAATTGTGTTCTCTTTGAGCTTCTTTCGATTCTTCTATTAGGTAATGTGGCTGTAGTTTCTTTTTCTTTCCTTCCTCTCTCCTTGCATTTTAGCTGTTTGAGTAGCCATAGGATATGGCGTGTTTAGTTTCGGAGAATTGCTTTGGTGGAAGATATGATAATTCTTTGAAGGATTGGGAAATTGGTGTGTTTTGGCTGTCATTCACGATGACGCGTTATTAATATTTGAAATTCTGGAGCCGGACAGAGTCGTGCTTGAAAACTTTGGATGCCTTCGAGGGGAGGGTTTTGTGGTTGCCTTCCCCTTAACGATTTGTGAATTGATGATAGTGAATGTAATCTTCAAGTAGAAGGAATTTATTCCTAAAAAGATTGGTCGAGGCTGTATTCTTTGTTTTTACCCGTTTGTTATATATCATATTCGTGTTTTTGTGGTTGATGTTTCTGGACTGTGTTTGTTACTGGATTGCTGTTGTCATTGACAGTGATTACTTCTTCGTGTATCTGTTGAGCTGAATCGTATTTGCGAATGGTTATTCTTTTGCTTCATAACGATGAACTTAGCTTGAGAAACAAGTATGAGTTTATTCACTTGTAAGGAGGACGAAAAAAAAAATGGCGAGGCTGTTGGAGATTTGAACAGATGAAAAGATTAGGATTTTCTGTGTAAAATAATTCTATGCCTTGTATGACGGAAGTGTAGGTTTGCATCTCTGATCGGTTTTTCCTTGTGCTTATAAACAAGCTGACAACAATTTACCTAACTATTGCGTCTTCATGTAGCAACTGTCTATGTACTTGTGAATATAATTGTGATGCTACAAACCTACACTTAATTTTATGGAGGATTGCTGTTAGTTGAGTATTGAACTGCATACAAAGTCTCCGCAGCGTGGGTTGCATGAGCAGAGCTCATTTCCTGGAACCCTAGGATCATTGCAGTTTAGTGACATTTCCCAAATCCTTTCTGGAAATGAATTTTTGTCTTTATTAGTTATCCGTTGTGTCATTCTTTGGTCTGTGATTTCTTAAATGTTGAGACGTGAGAGTAAGTAGACCTTTGAAAGAGGGGGCTTAAAGCTGTGTATTTAATTCCTTGGGTGAAGGAGAGCATTTTAGCTAATTTATTTGTTAGGAGGCAGTTCACGTGCAAGGTGTTATGTAATTAGGTATTTTCCATGAGTCTGCCAGCCTGAAAGGCTCACGAAAGTCTAGTTAGTTGAGGGACCATGTGGCTTTAGGAATCTTTATGGAGGGAAATTTTGATGGGTTATGCAGCCAGCTTGAATCTACTGTGGTTCAGCCAATCGCAGAACATTTTTTTTTCCAGTGGTTGAAGAAACAGAACTTTTGGAGCCCCACCCTTGTGAGTTATGCCATTTTGAGGTTTATTGTAATCCCTTTCTCTCTGGTATCTTGTTAAAGGAGTGGTCAAATAAGCAGCAGCTTTGAACCAGGTTTTATTTTGTTCAAGGAGGCAGCTGTCTATAGGATTTTGTGTTTGCACCGTTAGCACCAGTAATGAAATCTTTCATTCGTTAATTATTCCTATATAAATTTAAACAGTGTGGTGGTTGCTTTATGCCACATTCATTGTTCAATCTCACAGCTGATTACTTAACCACTCCTATCAAGACCATCTTCCCTCCATGCTTCATCCATACAATAAAATCTGCCTGTGCTTCATCGAATAGCATCTGTTGTTAGAAGAGACAAACCCACTGCTTATTTGGGTAATGACTTTGGAATCTTGAATATGGATAATTTAGTTGCTGGAGTGGCATTAATGATCTTTCCAGCAATGGTGCCACAACATTGTTACATAGCTCTTCGTTATCAAGCGATCAGATAATGAAGGAAATAAATGCTATTTTGAGCAAAGGATCTACAAATGGTGCAGATGTTATGAAATGTATTTGGCTTTGGTAAGTTTCAGTTCTTGGAGGAGTCGGTGCAGAAATGCCAGTTAAGGTAGGGTTGCCCTTCATGGACAATAAAAGCAACACATATGCTGTAATCTTTTTATTTGGAACCTATTTGATTGAGTGATTTATTGCTTTTAACATAGGTTGGAGTGTCTATTGGATGGATCCAGTATAGTTGGATTTGGTTCCAAGAGTTCGTCAAGATGTCAAGTGATCATTCCATGCTATTGGTTTCTATTTACTGCTGGAGGCTGTCAAGTACCCCAGTACTACCTTGTTATTTTATGTGGAATTCTTGTGTATGCACTTTTTTTGATGTGTTCTCTTGGAGTGATGCTGATTGGAGCTGTCCAACCTTAGTTCAATTTTGTTGTTGCTGATTTCAATTGGTCTGCAGCAGAATAGAAGAAAGCAACAGTGCATTCGGTGTTTGCCTGGCTTGATGGGGTGACTAGATATGCCTTTGAAAGTCTTAGAATTGTTTCTAAATCTTTTCCTACATGCAGGTTGCTAGGCATATTGCCTGCTTCTATATAAGTTAGTAATCTTTTCAAAGACAACTATTATCATGGGAGAGGTTGCTGTTATGCACTCAGAGTCACTGCCATTTGAGTGCAAAGACCTGAAACGCATGAATGTGAAAGGGGTGTATGCTCCACAGTCAAATGCAGATCACATGCCTGGTGAAGAATCAAGTCAATCAACGGATGACAAAAAGATCAATGAGTTACGAGAAAGAGGATATCTGCAATATGGGTATATTACTTGCCCATAATCTCTTTTTTGCTATATAAGTTGTTTCTCTTCCGTTTCCTTTGTTAATGTGCTTGGCTTTCTTTGCAGATGTTCACATTACCAGAGGAGATGTCGTGTCCGAGCCCCTTGTTGCAATGAGGTTTTTGATTGCCGTCATTGTCACAATGAGGCAAAAGTGAGTAATTCCCCCCTCGTCTTATTTTTGGAAGTGGTTTGATGTTTCACTGTTTACCCCTTACAGATTAGGACATCATTTGCTTTGTGTTCAGTGAGAGGGCAATTATTATTTCTTCCTAGCCTTTGACCTTCTAGAGATATGGTCATACATTATTCATTGATGCAGAACTATGAGAAGTAGGTGTTATCAAGTTGTTTGAATTGGAAAAAAGTAAATGCTAGTTTTTTCAAATCAAATGTCGAGTGTCAAGTTCATGGTTGGCATGACTCGCCAGTCACCACCCCATGTGGAGCCATTGTGTGCTCGGCAACCCAGAATTGTACTTTTCTATGCATGTACTGTGGCATGCTATTAGCAGGAATAATTCTGAGTTTGTAGAATTCCTTTTATTTTTGGTGGCACTTACTTTTACTTTTTTTTGCTGCAGAATAATATCAACATTGATCAGAAGTATAGACATGACATCCCCCGCCATCAGGTCAGACAGGTATGCTTACGTTTTTAAACACATCCCGTGTTTAATTATCTCAAAGTCTGCATCCCTTGAATTTATGCAATATTGCAGTTCTGTGATTCCTCAATGCTGATTAGTAACCTTGACTTATTTAACTTATCCAGGTGATATGTTCACTTTGTGGGACTGAACAAGAGGTGAGTCCAGCATCTGTGTTCCATTGTGGTATCCAAATTAAAAAGAGAAGTCTAAATGCAAGCTTAAGCCGACTCTTTTTTTTTTTTTGGGGGGGGCGTCAAGATGAAAAATGCTTCTTCAATTGTTTGTTTGTTTTTGTATTCATGCTAGTACACATTGTAGAAGCCGAGGATGTTTGGCTGGGGTTATTAAGAATCTTATCAGTCTATGAAGGTTCTTCTAGATGTTTTGCACAAGTTAATTGCTAGTAATGTGATTTTAATTTAAGATGTTAAGTGATGAACAATGTGCTACTTGAAACCAAATTGTTACTCCCATCTTATTTACTGCTGTTTTTTTGTTAAGCCATGTGAACGCGATCTCTTAATTAATAATATTTCTAAAAGCTTGATAAATGATAGAGCACAATGGCATTTGTAATCCATGTAGCCGATCCCACCTAGTGGGATAAAGGTTGTTGTTGTTGTTTTGTTGTTTTTGTTAAGCCATGTATCACGAGCCAAAGTATCACTTATGATCTCCATATAGCTCACCTTTCTTGTTCCAATTTATCATTCTTCCAGGTTCGCCAGAACTGTATAAACTGTGGTGTTTGTATGGGAAAATACTTTTGTGAGACATGCAAGCTCTTTGATGATGATGTAAGTTATTTGATCTGGATAGTGATGATTGTATTTATCTTCAGGGAGTTCGCTAGATTAATTTACTTATCTTGTTTCTCGTGTGCTTGCAGATATCTAAGCAACAGTATCATTGCAATGGCTGTGGGATTTGCAGGTATAAACTGCTAATCTGGTTAGTCCTTTATATTGAGATGTGAATGGGAGTTGTGGAATTTTGTGAAAATAAAATTGCAATACTTTGGATCCTTTGACTGGTGTTTTTCTTGTGGGATTGACTGTTTCACTTCAAAGTGTAAGCAGACTAATAATTCTCGTGTGTTTTACTTGTGATACAGAGTTGGAGGACGTGATAATTTCTTCCATTGTTATAAGTGTGGTATGCTGCATCCCTATGCTTTTGATTTAGCGTTAAGAAGATGCTAATATTTCTTACCTGTTTTACTGCATGGTTTCTTTGAATAGGATGCTGCTACTCTACCATGATTAAAAATAGTCACCCATGTGTGGAAGGAGCAATGCATCATGATTGCCCTGTCTGTTTTGAGGTATCACTTTACTACTTTTCTGGTTTGTTGATTTCAATCTCTGTACCAATTTGTTCAACTGCTGAGGCTGACTGAAGCACACCCCAAAATGGTGATTGCAGTATTTATTTGAATCCAGAAATGATGTTACCGTTATGCCTTGTGGGCATACAATCCACAAGAGTTGCCTGAATGAAATGAGAGAACATTTCCAGTGAGTGTCACGGTGTTCTTGTCTCCTTGTACCTTTCTCGACTGAAACTCTCTTGTTGCGAACTCGATTCTTGTTGGATTAATGTATTGATTCTGCATCAGGTATGCGTGCCCGCTTTGCTCGAAGTCAGTTTGTGACATGTCAAAGGTTTGGGAAAAGTTTGACCAGGAGATTGCTGCTACTCCCATGCCTGAGCCATTCCAAAATAAAATGGTCAGTGTTCCTTTTCTTTCCCTCCTTCAGATTATGATGGCGTTACGTGCATCATCTTGCAAATACCGATATATGGCTCTTGATTTGTCTTTGGCTCTATCATCTACATTTAGACACGAAGACCCAGGGGTCTTATGCTATTTTATTTATTTGGGCATGCGATAGTTAGAGGTTCAATAGAAATTGACCGTTTAGTATAATACGATTATGGTTGACAAATAAGAGTACTGTCAACAGGTGTGGATCCTTTGCAATGATTGTGGAAAAACTTCGCGCGTTCGGTTCCATGTTGTAGCTCAGAAGTGTTCGAACTGTAAATCGTACAACACGCGACAGACAAGAGGTTGAGGATGTGGAAAAAATGTTAATTGGTTACTCAAAGACAAGGCTGCATTTGGGCTCACCTGATTCTTGTGCTTAGAGAAGGTGGTGGCAACAGTGTGTCCTCCATGGAGTACGAGGAATTCCACGTGTCGGAATCTTTGACTGGGTGGTTTACTTTCACGGCGCTGTGTCACATGCCAAGAGTACTGAACCCTGGTTCTCTATGTTTGATTACGTGTCGGGGCATCGTCATTGCTGGATCAGTTAATGTGTTGTGTTGGGCTGGTGGAAAGTCATTGTTGCAATCGATCTGTGTTTCCGGTGTTAACCTGCGTTCATTGGAATAATGTACTGTGATTATTAGTCTTTTAATAATATTTGTTTTATAAGTTTGAAGTACCTAATTGATTGATGTCTATGGTAACTTGGTCGCTGATTGAACTGTGTTGGTAGTGTTGTGATGTTGGGGTGGCGTAATCTTTTCCGGGCATGGATCACCAATAGCCTTCCCCAAAACCGGGGGAACTAAAAGCACAACAAAGGAACGAGATTGCGGGGCTCCTTCGGCTGGGCGTAACCAATAATATCTCCTTGTAGAATATAGTCTCATCTCCACCTCCTGAGTAATCAACTCTAATATACAAAATTGTAGCATTAACAAATACTCCTTTCATCTTAAATTACAAGGTAGTTTAAGATAAAATTTTCTGTATCAATAATCTTTATTAAATATATTTAATTACATTATTTTTTTAAAATAAAAATATAGACTTTAAAAAATATATATCATTTATCATTATCATTTAATAATTTCAAACTCACATCTAATTAGTGTTAAATAGAAAAAGAGAGGGCAATATTGATATAAATTTATTTAATGAAATATTAATCTTTTTAAAGTGTTTTAAATTTTAAAACAGTAAATATTTTTCAAAAGTATCTTATAATTTAAGATGAAAAGAATATCAATTTGGTGATATGTTATTTTTTTTTGACTAGAAGATAGTGTATTATCTAAAACTTTGAATTTGAATGTAAATTTTTGTTTCCCTTTTTTCTTTTATAAATATAGGCAGCCTAACCAAGGCTGGGGAGTATTATTGCAATCAGCTAATAAAAGAAAAAAAAACATTAGGGGACGGTGAATCTTGGCCAAGTATTAAGGGCTAGCTTGGCAAAGCTATCAGCATCAGCATCACCATGTCTACAAGTATGATGCACACTCACATGCCACTCTCTACAAAGAAATTCCTCAATCTTGCCAACAAGCAAGTGGTAATCATGAAGAGGGTTGTACTCCCTATTTACAAGATAAATTGCCTCAAGAGAATCACTTTCCACGATTGCTTTTCGGTACCCTAAGTCTCACGTTTCCTTCAACCCTAGCAATATTGTCCAAAATTCGGTTTCTAGACTATTTGTGGCAATATTTTCATGAATAAACCCAAAAATAAAGTATCTAGTATAATTACGAAGGACCCCCCACATCCTCCTGAACCCATTCGATGAGAGAAGGTGCGATCAACATTGGTAAGGATCCATGCCTGTGGAGGAGCTTGCCAGGTAGTAGTCTTAGTCTCTGTTACTTGTCTTGACAAATTCACCCAAGCTATAATAGCCTTCTGTTTCCCATGCTCGAAAGGATAGAGAGTGCGTGTGCATGTATGGACTCAGTGCTTCTACTTTCGTTCTCAAAAATGTACTTGTTTCTTCTTTGCCAAAAAAGCTAGCAAGACACCAAAAACAATTCACGCCAATCTGGACACATCTTGCTTCCTAGGCCATTCAAATTCCATCGGTGCCATTGTGTAAGATTCATGTCAAAAAACACACCTTGATGGCTGGGATGCACTAATCGGCACTAGAATTGGTATGTTTGTGGGCAATCTCAAAGAACATGTAACGCATCTTCCTTCCAATCAGGACACCAAGTGCATCGACCATCAGTGTTCATCTTTCTTTGCTTCTGTGCTTCATTAGTGAGCAACCTATTATGCAAGACAAGCCACATGAATGGCTTACACCATTGAGGAATATTCAACTTTCAAAGTTTTCCCCATATCATGTCCTTCGTTGGTTTTTCCCTAGACAAGTGGTAGTACACAGAATTAACTGAAAAAGTACCATGCTTCCCCCATTTCCACTTGACATCTTGTCCATTGTTAACAAGCTCAGTGCTTTCACGCACTCCTTTCCAGGTAGCCTTTATACCAGCCCAAACATTTGAGCCTGCTCTCTTATTGATGGTTGGAATCACGTCACTTTCACATTTGTATTTGCTTCTAATAACCCGCACCCAGATGTCATCTCTCTGTTTCATTAATTTCCATCCTAACTTCATAAGAAATGCTTGGTTTTGAGTCCTCGCATGCTTTATACTAAGTCCTCCGTTTATTTTGCTCCGTCCCACATCATTCCAAGGCACTAAATGGATTTTCTTTTTGTCTTCCATAGAGCCCCATATAAAGTCTTTATTCATTCAATCAAGAGTATCACACGTATGAGCTAGTACAAGAGATGTTTGCATGGTGTAGCATGGTATTGCAAAGCTGATTGATGCAACAAGAGTGGTTCGCCCCGCAAGTGACGGTGTGGTAGCTTTCCAAGACGAGAGACACTTTTTAACCTTGTCAGTGACATCATAAAATGTTTCTTTTCCCATTGGTTTAGTGTGAAGTTGAACTCTAAGATAACAGCCAAGATTTGCAGTTTGAGTGAATCCAAGCATAGAGCTAATCTCGTCCTGTCGAACATTTGCACGTTTTTTGAGAAAAAGATCTGATTCTTGGTAGCATTCACTTTCATCCCAGAACTATCACAAAATTGGCTCAAACACTAATCACATTGGCTTGGTTTGACGAAGCTTTCGTGAAGAGAATAATATCATCAGCGAACCCTTCCAAGCCGTATAGGTTCCCATTATGTATCATCTATTTTTTGCTGGATTAGGTGAGCCAACCTCTCCACACAAATAACAAAGAAATAAGGGGATATAGGGTCACCTTGTCGGACTCCTCTAGATGGTAAGAATGCCTCAAATTTACTGCTATTCCAGAGAAGTTGCATAGTAGATGAAGACATACTTTGAATAATAACATGAGTAATATGAGCAGGAAACTTGAGATGGTCCATGCAGTCAGAAAGAAAATCTCAATTAAGTCTATCGTAAGCCTTCTCCAAGTCATTTTTTATGCCCATGAAGCCACGCTTACCTTGCATGAACTTCATAGAATGAATGACCTCTTGGGTTACAAAGCTACATTGGTTAGGAGATATAATATTAGGGAAAAGAGCCTTCATCCTATTAATAATTACTTTAGTGATAGTATTAAAAGTAACATTGCATAAACTTATGGGTCTCAAGTCACGTCCATTTCAAGAGGAGATTTTTTTCAGAATAAGAACACTAAAAGTACTATTTATTTCCTGAATTGCCTGGGGATTATTGAAAAAAGTATCATTTCCTTAATTTTGTTTCTTCATAAACTTGTCCCAGCACTTCTGCACCATCAACTCACGAGTCTTGAACCAACACCGCCCAGTATTACCCCGCCTTTCTCGCCTAAACAAAACTCACGAGTCAACATGATGACCCATACCCCACGGTTTTATGTGTCCGTTGAAGGGCTTCATCTCCATTTAAAAAACGTGGGGTCGCTTTTGGATTCGCTTTTCACCGACCAATCATGCTTTCTCTAAAAATTCGTGCGTCCATTTCTGAAATTCGTGTTTGGATTCAAAAGGTCCTTGAAGGAATCATAACATGTTTGAGCTAATTGCCTCTCTGTGACGTGATTACTTGAGTACTCGGATGACACGCCTTTAGAGGGGTCAGAAATAATACAGTAATTTCAGAATAAAAACACAACTACAAGCAGAACGGCCGAAATGATATGCTGGAAGCTAAAAACATGCTTTAACTGGAATTAAAACATGGAGATCATCGAACAACCAGATGGAGTCTGAAAGCAAGCTAATCCACAGTAGAGGTGGGAATTTGATTTATTAGATAGCATGCATGCCCGTCAGTTCACGTTTAATGTACTACAGAACCCAGCTTTAAGTAGAATTTGGAATAACATTCTAAAGCTTGAAAAGATTTTGGATTTAGCCGATTAGGAGGTTCATCCGCCTCCTAAAAGTTCATTGAACGATAGTCAGTAGGCCTAGTGAAACTAGGATAATCACATTCCAACAAGTCAGAACGGCAACATCCATCAAAACTTCAAGATTCGGTCAAGGTTAGAAATACAGTGATTGTATAGTACTCTGCTAAGATCACATGTATCGTTCGGCCAAAAACAGGTCCAGATAGTATACATTGATTTTTGACACAATGTAGAGGTAATACGAGGTAAATTGAATAGAAGGGGAAGCCAGAAAAATCAGCCTCAACCCTTAAGGGTGATAAGCAACCAGCATCAGTAAGTCTGATAACATATTATCTCTAGTTATATGAAAACCAAAACTAGCCGTCCAAAAGCCATAATAATCCACCACGAGCATGAAAGCTGAAACACCAATGGCAAACGCAATGATGTACAAAATGATCATCCATGGCTGCTGATTGATGCACATAAAACAGCTCTTCTATGAACAGATGATCAGCTGCGTCCACCACTGTCAAGGCCATGGTGGGTGTGGCAGAAAAAGCCTCTCTAGGCAGCTGTGAAAATGCCAGTTCCAACAAGTTCCTCACTATTTTCTGGTTTTGGAGAAGAATTAACAGAAGATGGATTTGATTTCTTCTCAAGTTCCTCGTCAATCATGATCTGCAGAGCACGGCAACTTAAACTGCAAAATGCTTTTTCGCCTCTGCAAGATGTCAATCAACACCACGGTTATAATAAAATCTATCATGAAGTTAACACTATTTCAAGAGTCAAACAGAAACCATACAACAGTCAGTGACTTGTCAGCGTTACCTGTACATATAAATATCTTTCCCCTCTTCCAGTTTCTTGTCGCAATGGTTACAGAAACTCAAAAAGTCACTAGAGGGATATTGGTTTGGAGTTTGTAAGCTGTTGACCACATTGGGCAGTACTCCATCATCCCCTTCTCTGTTCTTACTATGGGTTCCAAAACCACTAGAGTGAGTTTCCAGAATGCAGTCCCCGAAAATATGAGTAGTTTTTGGGTTAGGACCACGGGAAATTACACACGTGTAGTCCTCAGAAAGTTCAATCTCACCAGCAGATAAAGAACCAACAAATTCATTTGATGTGCAAATGGATGAAGGTTTTGAGTCGAATTCTGTATGAGATAAGGTGCTTGAGTTCTGGCTTCCTCCGTTAAAAAAAGGGGGAGAGTTCACTCGGGTGATCATATTTTTCATCGTAATCTCAGAGATGGAATCAATGTTTGAATGATTTAAACCAGACAGGATTTTCAATGGACTGCAGGAGTCCAAAGAACAAGACCTACTTTTCCCAAATGGCTCAATCTCTTGGTGGGGTTCTCCAATTTCAAAAAGAACCTTTGATTCGCCCTTGCCAGAAATAGACCCACTCTTACTATAAGGAGGCTTACAAAAATCCTTGGGTAAGGATTTAGATGCCTCAAAGAATCAGTATAGGGTTGACAATTTGGGATTTTCACCCTCGGTTTTGGACCGAGACTAAGATTCTTACTCTCTGATGGTCGGAGAATTTTCCCAGAAAGTCTAGGACAATCTTCCAAAGAATCTATTAAGCTTAGGCCTACTTTGCCGCATTCCCAGCTCTTTTGATTCCCCTCATGGGGAGATGATCTTGGGGATCTAACTGCGCTTCCTAAGTTTGACAGGACCCTAGAATCAAGTGGAGATGTTGGGCTCCTAACTGAATCAGAATCTAGTAAGCCCTTAGGACCCAGACCTACGAACACGCGAGGTGCATTGAAAATTGAATTGCTTTTGATGTTTCTCCCCAGAGATTGAAACTGAAAATAGTAGTCCGAATTAGCATCAGGGTTTGCTACATGATCCATGAGGTGTTGATCCTTCTGGAGTGACCTGGTTCTCTTCCTCAACATTATCTCAAAACACCTGTCAAACAAAACACAAAACTAGAATAAACAATCACCAATATCAAGCAACTAACCACATTAATAAATATTGTATGGTCAGCCGAGAAAGGATCAAACCTTTGAACGCATAAATCATGATGGTGAGCATTCATGTTAGAAAAACAAAGGAAAAGCTTGGCATTTCGACTATAATCGCAGACTTAGAAAATAAAATAATTAAATCAAGAAAAATTATGGAGGATATATTAGACGGTGAAATGTCACTTCATTCAGAAAGCCCTCAGAACAGAAACGACATTCAAAGTAAAAACCCCAAATGCGAAGGGTAAGGACCATCGGAAGATTGCTAGGGTCATTCCAAGTCACTCCTCCAATCAAACAATATGCAAATACAAATTCTTAAGAAATGGAAGGGGGGGGGGAGTACCGAAGAAACACGAAAACCCCAGATTGAGAAAAAAAAATATATATATATATATATATCAGAAATGTATCAGCAGATTTACCGGACATCGCGATATGATCGATGACATCTAACAGTAACCAGCCTAAGCCTTTAGTAGAACATTGAAAACCCCCAAAAAGAACCAAAACACAAGACACAGTCAAATAAAATACAAGGTAAACCTGGACCGGAAAAAAGCCTACGAGGGAGACCGACATCGTCTAAAATCCATCGACTAACTATCAAAAGCAAAGAAAAACAAAGACAATAAAAGAATCTGAGGAAAACCCAGACCCACCTGGGGATTTCTCTGAGAGAGCTCAGGAAACTTTCAGCGAGACTGATGTTGAAGAGAGGAGGCCCTAATACAATATAAATGTGGGCCTGTGAAACTTGTGTAGTACTCCTCCCTCTCTCCCCTCTCTCTCTCTACATGCCTCAAAATCAGCGAAGCAGTGAGCTTCTGAAACACTCCTCCCTCTCTCCATCTTTTTTCCCGATTTCTCTCTAGAATTGACACATACCCTCTCTCGAATAAATGACTACTGTACACAGCTCTGTACACGCCCACAGAATTGTAGTGTTTCGTTTTGTGCTCGTCCCATTTTTGTGACATTGTTCCTTGCAAAACCGTGATTCAATTGCGAATTAGTAGACATTTTTCATAAACTTCAAAAAAATTTATATTACTATTATCAAAAATTTTATATAAAATATTTAATAAGGATATAAATAAAAAAATTTAATATTTTTAAAAATTTAATATTTTAATCAGGCCCAATATAAACGAAAAGAGTTGGCCCCGAGGCTTAATAAAGGCCACAATAAGTAAACATACCGAAATCTCATCAACTGCAAATATTAGACCGTTGGCACGAAAGATACGATCTTAAGTAATGTCAAAATCTATGGACCTCACGACTAATTATCTCAGTGAAATGAGCTGGTTATCAAAATAGAGAGTATGAAATAAAGACCGTACCGTGAGTTTTGCGAGACTCCTAATTCTTCGACAAAACGTGCTAAGTTTCAAAAAAGAGGCTATCGTTACTTTAACACTATAAATAGAAGAAGAAGACACAGAAAAAACTAGTCAACACTCAATTAAAGACTCATAATTTTACCTTTGTTAGCCCTTTTTAGTTTATTAGTTAATTTGTCAGTTTTAGGTCTGTAATATTTTCACATTTCAATAAAAATTGAATATTTGTTCTACCAAAGCTTTGTATCTTTTTACATTCGAGTAAATTGTGGTAAAAAAGCTCAAGATCCTTTTGTTATCAATTGAGATTCAGTGTCTCTGGCACGCCTGACATTTGTTGTTTATCACAAACATTTTTTGGCACGCCTAATGGGACCTATGTAATAAAGATTGCAAGGACGCAAAAAGACAAAAGGACTGATGAAATAAGTGTTGGTTCTCACGAACCAGAAGGGACCTTTGCACATGCGGGGTTAGAACACTTACCGCCTGATGCTAAAGCAGCTAAACATCATGAGCACATAGTGCCAATGAAGATAGGTAGTAGCAGCACGAGCTCTGGCTTAAATTCAAGAAGTGGACAACCCAACCTACTGATTATATCCAATAGACTTATGGCAGAAATGCTGTGGGAAATTCAAGACCAGATGGATAAGCAGTTGGAAGAGAACCAAAGGTTCTTTGCACTATCCTGGAAATGTTAGAACGCAAGGAGAAAGAACGACAGCAGATCATGATGCAGGCTCTACATGACGGCATGAAGAATATAGCCGCGTCATTAAGAAGCACTCCTTTAGAAGCAGGCTCAAGTTTAGGGCCGTTTAGAGGACAGCAAGGAGGAATTAATGTAAGTGATAGCCATCGGGGCCGCCTACTTATAAAAGACATCCCTAACCTCCAAATATTTTCTCATACTCATCCTTTTAAGTAATCCTTTATATTATTTATAGGAACCCAGCACGAGTGGCTGGAGGGCATGATAATGATCCTAGAGAGTCAGATCGAGCCTCAAAACCAAGTGGTGAACATAAAGGCTTTAAGGGATGCTACTCACGATATATATGGACCAAGGCTGAGGCCAATTGACCCCCTTCTTAAAAATCATATCCAGAGTACATAGACAGGGACAACCCATAACCTTGGGGATATAGGATCCTTGACTTCACGTTGTTCTTAGGGCACAAAATGCAGTCGACACTGGAGCACATTTGGAGGTTCACAATTCAATGTAGCAAGATTGCTAACTATAAGAATTTCGCTAACTTACAGCTAAGATTGTTACTAAATACTCTCACGGACCCGACGTTCACATGGTATATGTCACTATCCTATAACTCAATCATCAGCTAGATAGAAATGGAGTAGAAATTCCATATCCAGTTTTATAAGGTAGAGCCGGAGATCAGCATAACAAAACTCTGCAAGCTTACACAATGGGCCAGAGAAACGACGGACCAATACTTAGTAAGGTTCAAACGTCTGAGGAGCAGGTGTCACGCACCGCTTTCAAAAATTGAATTAGTCAAACTGGTACAAGCAAGACTAGATATAGAATTCTGAAAGAAATTTTAGGGGATGGAATTTTGAGATTTCTACAAACTTGTGATTGAAGTATGAGGTTATGATGAACTGCTCAAGGAAGAGGACTATCACCAACGGACTATGGCAGGAATCTATTTTGGAGACCTAAATATGGTAGTGGCAGAACTAAAGAATACTAGCAATTACACATGCACATGCCTAGCTTTGATAAGGAAGGCTGGAGAGCTTCTTAAAAGGCTGAACGCAATCCAGTATACTTTTGATATCACTAAAACAGAGAAAATTTTCAATTTCCTTCTTAAAGAAAACTTTATCTCCCTACCTACTAATCATAAAATCACTTTGAAGGAAGAATAGAAAGAGAGAGAAGGAATACTATAAGTACTATCATTCATAGAGTCACAATACCAAGGCGTGTTGGGGGTTCAAGAATATCATCCAGGATCGGATTAACAAGGGAGTTCTAAAATTTCCTAAGAAAGAATCCATGGTTATAGACGAGGACCCGTTCCCACCATTTGCCACAGTCAACATGGTGGAGATAAACTCTGGCGAACGACAGCTCAGGAGAAGTGATGGTAGGCAGAAAGATAAGAGACCCTGGAATGCCTAGAATAGGGATAAAGTGACTTAAGAAAACTCTAAGACTATATGGGATTGCCTGGGAAAACTTACGAGCCGATCTAGTAGGAACAAGTCTTTTAGATGGGAGGTGGGCTTGGAAAGGTAGAGCATCAAAAGCCCAGATGACTCCAAAGTAGTTTGGGATTACTTGGGAGAAACCCAAAATGAAGACAACTAGCAGAATATGAATAATGATAGCAAACGACCCTCGGTATGGGATATTGGCCCAGGGGGTTGATAATGACAGAGCCAAATGGATCTAAGGTGGTCTGGGACCATCTAGGGGAATCGTCTGGTAAATTCAACTTCTTTGTAAAGTACTCGATACCTTAAGGAGCAGGTGAGTCATTTGTGGGGACACTAATAGGCTAGGATGTAGGCCCTAACGATCTACCTTTACCACCATTAACGACATCAAAAAGTAACACAGAGCTTCCTTTAAAGCCAAAAGCCGCTAAGGGCTCAGGTAGGTTTGTTATGCTGCTCGACAACGTGCCACCTCTAAAATAAAGGGTCATAGACATAAGAAGTTCACAACTACCTTAATGAGGGCCCAAAAATGATGTCTTTAATAAAAGCAACCTACACAGAGATACCTCAAATAGTAAAAAATTGAGGTACAAGATAGCTCTGATGTTCAGCAGGAGGCTAACAAGTTTAAAAGGAAGTCCAGTGAGGATTGGGACGAAGGGAGTGAGAATGAAAATTAGTGTGATGGGACCATTCACATTGAGAAGATACTGTTTAACCTCTACTGTGTGGTTTTATTAACTTTACCTTCCTAGTTCTGGTCCACCACTAATGGTACCTAGGACCAGTAAAAATAGAACTCCTTGAGGCTGACACAAGCGAGCCCATATCAATATTGCCCAATGGAGCTAAGGGAAGAAGAGAGGTATGAGCCTATAAGGAAGCAGATGCAAAAAGAGAGGGTTATGGAGCCCGTCTGTCAAATCACCTTAAAAGTAATAGAAGGAAAGTCAAAGCAAGCCGTCCTGGAAAAACCTAGCATTAAGATGACCCAACACTTGAAGCCTTTATATATCAAGGCACATTTTAACAGGAGGCCAATGACTAAGGTCCTCGTGGACAACGGATTGGCGGTAAACATACTACCAGCTCACATGATGCTCAAGATGGGGTGAGAGGAGCATGACTTGATATCGACTAAGGTGTTTGTTTTAGGATTTACTGGGACTGCATTAAGGTCCTTGATGTATTACCATTGCAGGTTGATGTTAGGACTAAGTCATCATTGACAGCTTTTTTCATAATCAGCACCATAGCACAGTACCAGGCCCTCTTAGGTCAAGATTAAATCCATGCTAATGAGTGTGTACCTTTTTCATTGCATCAGATGCTCCTTATGTGGAAAGGAGAAGAGGTAGAAGTGGTATGGGCTGAAGATAAGCCATTCACAACAGTCATTAACTTCGTGGATGCGAGGTATTATGACGCTAATTTGGGCCTATTTACGTTTTGAAAGGCTCAAGGAATCCTTTCATGCAAAATAATAATGGACGCTATAGTGCCTCTAACATCGCAGAGGCGTGAGCCCATCATATAATTGGTTGATGATTGAGATGAAAAAAAGAAAGGTCATAGTAGTCACAGCCATTCAAAAGCTAGGGTTACACAATATACATGAGAAACTAGAAGAATACAGACCCGAAACCTTTAGAGCTGAAGTCATATATGAAGATGAAACCCAAAGGGTAACACAACTGCACGAGCTAGACCCTACATCTCTAAAATTTAAACACATAGCTCTGAAGGTCCATGATCTACTAGAAGAAGTAAACCTTGGATCCCATAAGAGCTGAGGATCACTTTTATTAACTTACTACTAGATGAAGAACAAAAAAATGCCATCAAGCAGGTACTGTAGGAATTTAAGGATTACTTTGCATGGGACTATGATGAAATGCTAAAGCTGGCGAGATAACTAGTCGAACATAGGCTTCCTATAAAGTCGAACTATAGACTGCACCAACAACTCGCCAAGAGAATGTTAGTCGAAGTAGAGTTACGAGTAAAGGAGAAGATCAAATGCCTCATACAGGCCAGATTCATATGGCCCTGCAGGTATGCCTAGTGGCTCTTAAATATAGTACTAGTAATCAAGAAGAATGGGAAGCTGTAAGTTTATAAACACGACCACACCTAAGGACGTGTATGTAATACCTATTACATACAGGTTAATAGATGCTAAAGCTGAAAATGCTTTATTATCATTTACAGATTGCTTCTCCAGATATAATCAAATATTTATCGTAAAAGAAAATATTCACAAGACTGCTTTCAAGTTCCCGGGCTTCATTGGAAACATTTGAATGTGCAGTCATGCCATTCGGTTTGAAAAATGCTAGGGCCACCTATTAGTGGGTTATGAATGCCATTTTCCATGATATGA